GTGGGAGTGTGGAGAGGGTGTGTGTGGGAGAGAGAGTGTGGGAGTTGGAGAATGGGAGTAAGGTGAAAGAGGGGGAGCAGGGAGAGAGTGTGGGAGTTCGAAGAGGGAGAAGAGAGAGGGGGAGTCGAGAAAAAGAGAGAGGAGTGGAGAGAGAGTAGAAATTGGGGAGTGAGAGTAAGAGTCAGGGGAGAGAGAGAGTAGGAGTGGAAAAGAGAGTCGGATAAGGGGGAGAGAGAGAGTCGGATTAGGAAGAGACAGTCGGATAAAGGAAAGAATGTGGGAGTATCGAGAGAGAGTAAGAGTGGAGTGAGAGAGGGAGTTGGGAGAGAGTGTGGGAATGGGGAGCGAGTGTAGGGGTGGGGAGAGAGAAGAACTGGGGAGAGGGGAGTCGAGAGAGAGAGAAAGAGAAAGAGAGAGTTATAGTTGGGAGAGAGAGAAAAAGTAGGGAGAGAGAGAGTAGGAGTGTGGAGAGAGTAAGAATTGGGAGTACTGGTGAGGGAGGGTGAGGGGAATTGGGAAAGAGAGATTGAAAGAGGAGAAAGAGTCGAAGTTGGAGTAGTGATAGTGGGGAGAGAGAGGGAGTGGGGAGAGAGAGCATGGAAGTGTAAAGAGAGTCAGATTAGGAAGAGGGAGAGAGTGTGGGAGTTGGAGTGAGAAAGAGGGAATGGGGAGAGTGTGGGAGTTTGAAGAAAGTTATAGTTTGGAGAGTAAGAGAGAGTGGGAGTGAAGTGAGAGAGAGGGAGTGGGAAGAGGGCGTCGGAGTGGAGAGAGAGAGAGTAGGATTGGAGAGAAGAGAGTTGGAGTAGGGAGGGAGATTGGGAGTGGGGAGAGAGTTATAGTTGGGAGAGAGAGTTGGGAGAAAGAGTGAGAGTGGGGAGAGAGTGGAAGTTGGGAGAGAGAGAATGGAGAGGGAGGGAGAGGGGAGATGGGGAGAGAGAGTAAGAGTGTGGAGAGAGAGAGTTGGAGAGAGAGAGCTGGAGTTCGGATAGAGTGAAAGTGGGGAGGGAGAGGGAGTGGGGAGAGAGTCGGATTAGGGAGAGTGGAAGTTTGGAGAGAGAGAGTGTGTGGGAATGGGAGAGATAGTGTGGGAGTGGGAGAGAAAGAGTGGGAGTAAAGTGAGAGAAAGGGAGTGTGGAGATCGGGAAGTTCGGAGAGAAGGGAAACAGGGAGTCGAGAGAAAGAGAGGGGAGAGTAGGAATTGGGGAAGGAGAGTAAGAGTCAGGGGAGAGAGTGTAAGAGTGGAAGGAGAGAGTCGGATTAGGGAGAGAGAGAGTCGGATAAGAGAGAGAGTCAGATAAGGGAGAGAGAATGGGAGTATTGAGAGTGACCTGGGAGAGAGTATTGGAGTGGGGAGAGAGAGGGGGAGTTGAGAGAGAGAGGAGAGGGGGAGAGAGTAGGATGGGGGAGAGGGTGAGTGGAGAGACAGTCGGATTAGGGAGAGAGAGCGGGAGTGGAGTGAGTGGGAGGATATGGGGAGAGAGAGTGGGAGTGGGAAAAGAGAGGGAGTCGAAAGAAAGAGAGAGAGAGAGAGAGACGGGGGAGTGAAGAGAAAAAGAGAAAGAGTGGACAGAGAAGGGAGAGAGTGAATGTTGGGAGAAAGTGGGAATGGGAAAGAGAGAGTGATTGGGGAGAGGGGGTTGGAGTTGGGAGAGAGGGAGTAGGGCGATAGTGGGGAAAGAGAGTGTGAGTGGGGAGAGAGAGAGTGTGTAAGTGGGGAGAGAGAGAGAGAGAGAGAGAGAGAGAGAGAGAGAGAGAGAGAGAGAGAGAGAGAGAGAGAGAGAGAGAGAGAGAGAGAGAGAGAGAGAGAGTGGGCAGAGAGAGTGGGAGTGGGAGAGAGAGCTGGAGTAGGGAGAGAGATTGGGGAGAGAGGGAGCGAGAGAGAATGAGACAGAGAGAGTCGAATTTGGGAGAGAGAGTGTGGGAATTGGGAAAGAGTGTGGGAGTTGGGAGAGAGGGAGGAGAGAGAAAGTGTATTGAACCGGAGACTTACATAAATATAAGTACAGTGACACCCATTAAAAAAAACTGTGTATCTATTGCGCACAAAATTGCGGTTCTGGATTATTTCTTCCCAATTCTTACCTCAATTGCATAAAAGCTAGATTTCAAAAAAGTCCTAACTCCATCACTTTTTATGCGTCCGGATCGATAGATCCAGGGCATATATTGTTTTCGTCCTGTCTGTTTATCTGTTTGTTTGTCTGTTTATCTGCTTGTCTGTTTATCTGCTTGTCTGTCTGTCTGTTGTCAACTTTAACCTTCACCATAACTTACGAACCATAAGAGATAGAGACTTCATATTAGGTATACATACTGCACTAATAAAGTTCTCTCAAATGAGGTCAAGGTCAATGACCTTGTGAGTTGTGACCTTGACTGCAACCAATATGCTAAAAATAGCTTTTTTGAATTTTTACCATAACTTTTGAACCATAGGAGATAGGGATTTCATATTTGGTATGTATACTCCACTATTAAGTTCTTTCAAATGACATAAAGGTCATTGACCTTCTGACCTTGACTGTGACCTATATGCTAAAAATAGTTTTTTCGACTTTTTGCCGTAACTATTGAACCATAGGAGATAGGGACTTCATATTTGGTATGCATACTCCACTAATAAAGTTCTTTCAAATGACACCAAAGTCAAGGGCCTTGTGACCTTGACTGTGACCTATATGCTAAAAATAGCTTTTTCGAACTTTGTTGCTGCCGGGCGCATAGTGTTTCACAAACACATCTTGTTTTTGTGCGCAATAGATACCGGTATACAGTTTTTTTTTTCAATGCTACAGTTTTGCAGCTAACTGTAGGCGAGAACTGTCAGGGCTGCTGAGGAGAAAAACTGGTAAAGACGCAAATTTATTTTAGGTTTCATTATTCTCCCTTGAGATTAAAAATATTTTGGGACTATTGATTAACTTTATAATGCAAATGATTTATTTGTATAACTTATTGTCTTTTATCCAATCAAATAAATGGCAATATAAAAAAGATTCTCACTTCTGCCACCAATGTTGCCGTTCAGGGGTTTTCTCCCTTATGTAATGTCTGGATCTCCTAAGTCTGTATATTGGACAGCGTAACTTTGAGTAGAGATTACAGTCATATTTTTTTATGCGCCTGATTCGGGGCGTATATTTTTTTGTCCAATCTGTTTGTCTTTCTGTCTGTTGTAAACTTTATCCTTCGCTATAACTTTTGAAACATGAGAGATAGTGACTTCATATTTGGTATGCTTGCTCAACTAATTAACTTCTTTCAAATGACACCCAGGTAAATGACCTTTTAACCATGACTGTGACATATTCTAAAAATAGCTTTTTAGGACTTTCGCCATAACTTTTTAACCATTGGAGATAGAAACTTCATATTTAGTATGCATACTCAACTAATTGATAGTAATTTAAACTTTCAATTTATACTAAAATGATTTTCTTTTATTCAGTAACTTTGGACGCTTAAAAACTACAGGGTTATGCGGTTTTTAAAGACGTCTGTTGCATTACAATGTATCTATCTGCGCTAGTTTTAAATTTTTAAGCACTGTCTTCTAGTTATTGGGGGAAAAAGAAAAATCAAAGATCTCTGGATTACGGAAGCGTGTTAGTGGCACTTGGACATTTATTTTTTTTAATTTTCACTTTAATCTGTAAAATTTACACTTTAATCTGTAAATTTTACACTTACAAAGGAAATCTTCTCATTGAAAAACTGTTTATTTTTACATTTTATGCTGATTATATTTGGGTTGGGGGGGGGGGGGGGGGCAGGGGAAGTTTGGTTTGATTTCATGAAAGTACTTTATCTAATGTAGGGAACCATTGGCTGAATGCACTCGTGCCTCGTCTTCAAAATTCCTGTCTGGACACCCCTTACAAACTGACAGAAAAATTCCTAGAGTTTATACCGAATCTACAGGAACTGGAGTCAGTTCCATCGCCTCGAATAATGACGTCACATCTTCCGGTTAAATATACACCGAAGGAAAACAGTGGGAAAATTATCCATTCCATTCGGAACCATAAAGACGTTGTAGTGTCTTTTTTCTATCACGCCAGAGCCGACTCGATAGTCAAGGACTTCATGAATCCTAACTGGTCCATTTTCTTAGAAAATTTCGTACGTGGGGGTAAGTTGAATGACTTGTTCTTTCTTAACAATTTCAAATCATTGCCATATTTGACCATCAATCCTTATTATTATTATTTTTTATCTTGAATACAAAGCTATACGTATATGAAGAATTGTAAAATATACTTGTATGATTGATTGGGAATGCATGCATATATTTTCATCCTTTGTCGAAATTGGAAAGTTAACCAAAAATTTATGCTATGTTTATAATCTTAATATTCTTTTTCAATATGCTAACAATAACTAGAAACTTTGAATAGATTAATAAACTTAACCCAGAAATTATTGATATCAAATGCATTCTTTCTTTAAATATTCATAAGAATTTATTTTACACAGATTGTTTCTATGGAAGTTGGTTTGAACAAGAGAAAGAGTGGGGAAAAGCAGCACAGCAAAATTCTGAACAAATATTGGTCATTTATTACGAAGATCTTAAGAAAGTGTGTTCAACAACTTACTTATTGCATACTTAAGGCATACTTTTTATACTGCTCTTTATTCTTCAAAAGATATTGAAGTTATGCTACTTTAATGTTTATTTTAGAACGGTATGGAGACAATGCAGAGGATATCCTGTTTTCTCAGAACCTCCTCTGATCCTACATTTCTTCAAGCTGTTTATGATGAATGTGCCTTTGATAAAGTAAATGAGAGAAAAGGAAACTGAATATAATTTTATCTACAGAAAAGGTTAAAAATTAAGGCTAAAGTGCTCTTAATCTTAAAATAAAAGGCCTTTTGCAATCATGAATTCATTTCATTAATGTGTATTCCATCGGAAGAAAAAGATACACTTTTTAATATTACACATTCAAAATTTTCGTATTCACTTTTGTAGGAGAGGTGGGTGATTGGAAATCAATATTCAGAGAGGAACAGAATGAGAAGTTTGATCAAGTCTTCAATGAACAAATGAAGGATTCAAAATTAAAAATACAATGGAATTAAACGGTTTTTTAAAATTGTTCAAAGGACTTTGAATACTTATTTTTAGAATTTGCTTCGTATTTTAAATCTCTAAAGGATACTAATTAATTACCGAATTATGATTACGAAAAAAATATGTCATGAATGGGGTTCGTCTCTCAGATGATTTGATACTCTAAAGCATACTCGATGTATGAACAGTTTCTTAAAAGAGGCAAGTTATTGACAAACAAGTTGATAAGAGAGCAGTCTCATTTGTAGTCATCATGTATACTCACTATATGAAAACATCACTAAAGTCAGGAACTTACATATTCTTGTGCAATAAAAGGTTGGTTTTTTTTTTACATATCTCTGGTAAATTCACTTGTGAATTTAACAGTGTAAATTTCTAAACGTTTAATCAATTATCTAAAATAAAAAAAAAACACTCTTAAATTCCATTTTAATTTAATGGCTAGAGTAGGTTTCAGATAAAATCAGAGAGAGAGAGAGAGATACATGTACCTAATGCATCTATTCGTTGAAGAATAACTGCATTTTTGCATTTCAGTGCAAGGTGCACTTAAAATAACCACATACAAAGAAGAGCACAATAGATAAATAATTAAGTTTCGTGACCTAAATTCCAAAAATAGAGTTCCTATTGAGCCAAGGTTGAGTATGGCACGCCAAATTCTCAAAAATGAGATAATCATAGTTTCACAATCGATAAACTAGGTTTATCGGTTGTAAACTATAGTTTACAAACCGTAAACTATAGTTAACAACGTTAATCTATATTTCACATCAGTAAACCATAGTTAACGCGATAATCTATGTTTCACAACCGTAAACCATACTTAACACCCAAAACAATCATTTGCGATTGCAAAACATAGATTATCTGATAAATACAGTTTCATGATTTGTAAACTATAGTTTACAAACCGTTAACTATAGTTAACGATCTGATAAATATAGTTTCACAATTTGTGAAACTATGATTAACAACTCTTAACTATAGTTTGCGATTGTAAACTATAGTTTACAAACGTGAATCTATGTTTATCAACAAAATCTATTGTTAACGCTTATTACAGACAGATAAACTTAGATTATCATTCGTAAACTATAGTTAACAACCATTAAATATAGTTTTACAGATAAAAACTATACTTAACGAATTGTTAACTATAGTTTACGGTATGTAAACTATAGTTTACAGTCGATAAACCTAGTTTATCAATTGTGAAACTAGGTTTAGCTCATTTTTGTGAATTTGGCGTGCCATAGTTGAGTCAATTTAACTTTCGGTTTAGCACGCTAACTGTGATAAAATAATACAACAATATACCATATGGTCCTACTATAGTATGGCGACTAAGGAAAAGCTGCGTGTAGATGGTCTGATAGTGCCAGGTTTTAAGCCACTTTCAACCTTACGAGATGCCAGAAGACGTTTAGCAGATATTGTTAATTTACCTACTAGAAAAGATGATGTTTTCATAATTTCGTATCCCAAGTCAGGTATGCTTTAAACCGCTTGTTTTGTAGATCTCTCATACTTAAGTCAATTAGATGAATACGCTTTGTGTAATAATATTTCTCCAAATGAACACATACGTGTATATTTATATAAAGAATTATAAAAAGCATGATAACTATAAAGGGAAAAGTGAGGAACACATGTTGCCCGGAGGAGTAGGCAACTCCTGTAAATAGGTCACATCTTCCAAGTGCTCCATGATAAGCGGAAAATTGTAAACAATGCAGTATGAAAAATGTCAGTTAAAGAGACATGGACATAGATTCAGCTGAAAAATTTCAAGTTATTTTTCCATTTTTTTTTATGTTTACAAATACCCAACTAAGGTATTTTTAATGATTATCAAAATTTGAATTTCAGTTGTCGAGATACAAAACAGATTTAGAGCTCCAAACCTTTGTAATGTAAACAAGGTCCGTGCCATGTTTTTATTTACATAGATTAATTATACTAATATATGTTCGTTCAAAACCGATTTTTTTCTATAAAGAAGTTATTTCTAAATACCATTAGACAGTTTCTAGTGATTTACTGAACCCTGTAATGTTATTAACATGAAATTTTCTATATGTAAACAAAAACAAGACACTAGCCTTGTTTACATTATGAAGAATTTTATCTCCTTTGTAAATCAAAAAAACGATGTTCATTTTTTTCCAGATAATTTGAATTGCCTTAATGAAGACTTGTAAACATAAAAATTGGTTTAAAAAATCAGATGAAACTGTGTCCATGTTCCTTTAACAATAGATTGTATTTGTTTACAAGGCCATTGAATCATCATTATAAATCTGAGCCTAAAAATTGCATATAGTTTATATTAAATTTTATTTTTGTGATGTGTACGAGTAAAGAAAAAATGACATACAAAAGACCAAATTATAAACCACAATAGATCGGGAATTTAGTAAATAAACTAGTTTGACTTCGTTTTAATTTTGGACAGCTTATGATCTGATGAATATGCTAAATGAATTTGACCTCATTGATAGAATTAAAATAATGAAGTTTTAAATATGATTAAATATGATAGAAAGAAATGTTTTCTTAGAATCAACGAGAAAATTAGAAATAATGTTAATCAATCCGTGAAATCACTAATTTTCGTGTGTGTGTGTGTGTGGGGGGGGTAATTTTCGTTGTTTTCGAGGTATGGAGAGACACACGAATTTATGACCACCACGAAATGTAAATTTTCATATGCACAACTACTAAAAAGTTGTTCCTCCACGAAATCAAATCCCCATGAATCAAAATTTTTTCCTCAAACCACGAAAATTTGACCCCACGAAAATATGTGATTTTACAGTAAATAAAAAAGTATATACTGGAATACATCACTTCCAATAAATATCGCTAAACAAAGTGATTATTTTTGCCTTTTCGAACTAATTGTATAATAAAGCATGTAGTTTTAGAACAATATTTAAATGTTCATACTTCTTCGCTTTGATTTAAATGAATTTTCAAAAGAGTTCATGGCGAATCTTGCACTTCTAATTTCATGATTTTACAACAAAAAACCTCTACATAACTTCACTTATCAATCTGGTTCACGATCAATTTATTTATTCTTATAACAGGAAACCACTGGCTAAATGCAATTGTGCCTCGTCTCCTTGACAACTCCCCTAGCAACACAAACCACCGCATGTCCAATCAATTCCTGGAAATGGTCTCAGATCTACAGGAGGTGCAAAATGCACCCTCTCCTCGAATCATGACATCACACCTTCCGTGTCGATACCTTCCAAAAGTAAATCAGGGTAAAATTTTCCACTCTATTCGAAATCCTAAAGACACTGCAGTGTCAGCTTTTCATCATTACACCACTGATCCTGTTGTCAAAGACTATGTACACCCTGATTGGCCCAGTTTTTTGGAAGATTTCTTACGTGGAGGTAAGTTTATTTCTTCTGGTTCGGTCCTTGGTTCTTGAATTTATACTTATATTTCTTCTCGTTTCGTCTTTGCGTCTAAATTTACATTTTCATATTTTTATTTATTTTTTCACGTCAAAACAGAATGTTACTATGGGAGTTGGTTTGAACGAGAGAAAGAATGGGAAGGAGCAGCACAACAAAATCCAGAACAGATTTTAATTGTCTATTTTGAAGATCTGAAGAAAGTAAGTTCAGCTAGAGGTACTGTGAGCAATGAGCTGACTAAATGATACCCCCTGCCTACCATATTGTTATAATGGCAAAGTCCATGTTTTGCTCTGGGAGACATGAAATAAGTATCAGATCAAAAAGTAATAAAGGAGGTGCACAACGGCATTATGTTATGAAGAAGCTATGAAAGCATAATTAAATTTTATTCAGTGGTATACGAGGAGTTGCGGATAAGAAAATGCTACCCTTCAATGTTATAGAAACAAGCAAATTCATTGACAAAGAAATGTGGTCTCCCACTTTCGGTGTCTTTGTGGATGAGATGTTATTTTTTATGGCATACTGTAAAATCACATTTTCGTGGGGTCAAATTTTCGTAGTTTGAGGAAAAAATCTTGTTCCATGGGGATTTGATTTCGTGGATAATGACTTGTTTAGTAGTTATGTATATAACATTTTACATTTCATGGTGGACATGAATTCGGGGGTCTCTTCATACCTCGAAAACAACGAAAATTAAACCCACATGAAAATTTGTGATTTCACAGTATTGTATATGAACGCCGTTTCATGTGTCAATCAGAAGTTATCATCGAAGTTGATTATTGGAAAATAACGTCAATTGTGAAGCTCAAGGGGTGAGAAATAATAACATGCTCAGAAAACTTCTTGTCAGAGGATATACACATGTCAAATATGAAATCCCTTTCTCTTCTCAATCAAAACTTAAAAGGAAAAATTAACATTTTTGAAAAGTAGGTCAAACTTCAAGGACAAGCTCACAAGATAAAAAGTCAAAGTGTATTTAAAAAGGTCTTGTCACTAGTAATACAATTGTTTAATATGAAAGTCCTATGTCTTCTCATTTCAAAGATATTAGCAAGGTTAACGTTTTTGAAAAGTAGGTCAAACTTCAAGGTCAAGGTAACAAGGTCAAAAATCATAATGTATTAAGAAAGGTTTTGTTACAGATAATACACATGTTTAATATGAAAGCACTATCTTTTCTCATTCAAAAGTTGTGACCAATTTTAAGTCTTTAATCTTTTAAAAGTAGGTCAGAGTTCAAGGTCAAGGGGTAAAAAATCATAGTGTATTTAGAAAGGTCTTGTCACAGGAAATACACATTTGTAATATGAAAGCCCTATCTCGTCTCATTCAAAAGATATGACCAAGGTTAAAGTTTTTGTGACGGATGGACAGACAGACGGACAGACGAATGAGATTTAATGTCCCTCGCTTTCGCGAAAGCGGGGATGGGGGAAAAATATGAGATTTAATGTCCCCTCGCTTTTGCGAAAGCGGGGGTGGGGGAAAAATGGCCCTGCCCATGTTTTGCTCTGAGAAACACAAAATATGAGTCAGATCAAATAATAAAATAAGGGGTGCACAATGGCACTATATAACAAAGATTCTATGAAAGTCTCATTAAATTTCATTCAGTGGTAAAAGAGGAGTTGCGGATAAGAGATGGGTACCCCAAAACGTAACAGAGGGATGGCCATCCTGATCACTATATACCTTCCCACTTTTCAAGCGGGGGGAAGGGTATAAGAATAACTGACTATTAAAATTCTGAAGCATACCTTTAGATGTACTTAATTTTCAACATGCATTTTCTTTAAAAGATGCTGACATATTATAACTTTTTTTTTATTTTAGAACGGTATGGAGACGATGCAACGTATATCCAATTTTCTCGGAACCTCCTCCGATCCTACATTTCTTCAAGCTGTTTATGATGATTGTTCTTTTGAAAAAGTAAAGGAAAGAGAAAAGGGGAAACCATGGGAGTTCATCTACAGAAAAGGTAGAGTATACCGCACTCTAAACCATTAATAGAGGTTTAATGGTTACGTCCTTTACAGGACTTGTAGAAAATCATATAATATATGGTGTATTTGATTTTCTAACTTTTGGATTAAAATATAGGATAAACAACTGAGCAGGTTTTAATAATATTAACAGGCAGATAAAATATTAAAGACATTCTTTTTTTCCTGCCTACTAGATTTACCGAGCAAAATTAAGCAAAATATTAGATATACTCATATTTTCATTATTTTGACGTTCCAAATTTAAGATTTATGAAATGTTGTAATTGAAATAGGTCAGCTTACAACAGTTACAAGAAAAATTAAAAGTTGTCATCGACAAGCTATCGAATAGGTGGAATCTAGAGAACAGTGCCTCCTTTAGTTTAAATGATAATAAGATTTTACTTGTAGAAGCTTTTCAAAATCATTTCCATTGAATCGTTAAGGAAAGGTCTAAATGTCATATTAGAAAATGAATATGCCACGTAAATGTTTCATTAGTTATCTCTTAAGGTAAAGATCTAGTAAATGAGAGGTGGCAGTAAAACAGAAAAAAAAACATACCTAATTTTCATTCATTAAATTTCGAGTTAAGATGAGAACAGATTGGGATACATCCGAAAGTTTTCCTGAAATGTGTTAGATATACATGTATTGTGGGTTTTTTTTTCTGCAGGTGAAGTGGGTGATTGGAAATCTTTCTTTACGGACGAACAAAGTGAGAATTTTGATGGTGTCTTCGAAGAGAAAATGAAGGGTTCTACATTGAAGATACAATGGAGCTAAATGTTTATTTGTAATTTTCAGATTATTGAACGATGTATTATTAAATATGTTTTGTTTAACTTATACATGTATAACTCAAAGCAATATCATGACCAAAGTGTTTTATTAGAGAACTTGATAAAGATTTAGCCATGCATTTCAGATAACGTAAATAAGCTCTTAATTCATATATAAATAGATTTAAAAAACTATTCTTTCTCCAATGTCATAGACATTGCTATTGAGGCTTTTTTAGTCCAGTGCATTGGCTGTAATCAACTGCATGTTATAAAGTTCGTGTATTTGATACCATGTACTCTATGCACAGAAGCTGCAAATTTTTTCCCTACATTTTCCCAGTATAGAAAACTTGTTCTTATTGTTCATGTTTTGATAGTACTGTAATGGCCTGGGGTAGACTTTAACTAATTAGTCTATTTTTTTTATGTTTTATGTGTCAACATTTATTGGGAACATTATCTGAGTGGATTTTATTATGCATTAATTCACTGCTACATTTCAGTCCTTTGAATATTATACAACGTGGTATCGTTTATTTATAGCACATTGACATACTTGTTGTTTGCATTGATTTATACAGGAAACCCTGTATTTCATGAATGCATGTACATACCCTTAAAATCTTTTGATGTTACTGTGTTTTACTCGATTACACTTGAGTCAAATAAGAGCCTGACATTGCCATAATTGTACACGATTGTTGGAGTCATGGAAGTTGTTTACATCCCGCCGACATCTTATCTGTATTAGCCATAGGTTCGTATTTTACCAAACTTGTTATTCATGCTATATCACAGGCATAATTACTTGCTATTTATTATGTTAATTATTATTGTGTGGTCTACTATTCATTTTAGTCATTATTATTCCCGATTACATGTGTCTACAACTTGCACTATATTTTTATCCATCTGCGATATCGTCTGCATACTCAGCAAGTTTACTTATGTTAAATTTACAAGTTTCAGAGAGAAATTGTTTAGTTACTTATTATAGACACATCCTTTGTGATCCATATTTATTGGTCATTTTGTCTTTTCACTTTTTAATTCCGTTTTGTAGTTATTATCTTCATTGTACGGCAGCCTTGTTTGGCACGGCTTGGCAGATCTCTGTTTGTACGATACAGTACAGTGCCGGGATTGGTGGAATGACGCCGTACAGCAACTTCAAGGACAAGCTCACAAGATAAAAGGTCAAAGTGTATTTAGAAAGGTCTTGTCACTAGTAATACAATTGTTTAATATCAAAGCCCTATGTCTTCTCATTTCAAAGATATTAGCAAGGTTAACGTTTTTGAAAAGTAGGTCAAACTTCAAGGTCAAGGTAACAAGGTCAAAAATCATAATGTATTAAGAAAGGTTTTGTTATAGATAATACACATGTATAATATGAAAGCACTTTCTCTTTTCATTTGAAAGTTATGACCAATTTTAAGTCTTTAATTTTTTAAAAGTAGGTCAGAGTTCAAGGTCAAGGTCAAATGGTTAAAAAACTCTTAGTGTATTTAGAAAGGTCTTGTCACAGGTAATACACATTTGTAATATGAAAGCCCTATCTCGTCTCATTCAAAAGATATGACCAAGGTTAAAGTTTTTGTGACGGATGGACAGACAGACGAATGAGATTTAACATCCCCTCGCTTTTGCGAAAGCGGGGGTGGGGGTAAAAGATGAGATTTAATGTCCCCTCGCTTTTGCGAAAGCGGGGGTGGGGGAAAATTGCCCTGCCCACGTTTTGCTCAGAGAAACACAAAGTATGAGTCAGATCAAAAAGTAAAATAAGAGGTGCACAATCGCACTATATAACAAAGATTCTGTGAAAGTCTCATTAAATTTCATTCAGTGGTAAAAGAGGAGTTGTGGATAAAAGATGGGTATCCCAAAACGTAACAGAGGGATGGCCATCCTGATCACTATATACCTTCCCACTTTTTCAAGCGGGGGGGGGGGGGGGAAGGGTATAAGAATAACTGACTATTAAAATTCTGAAGCATACCTCTAAATGTACTTAATTTTCAACATGCATTTTCTTTAAAAGATGCTGAAAAATTGTAATTTTTTTTTTAATTTTAGAACGGTATGGAGACGATGCAACGTATATCCAATTTTTTTCGGAACCTCCTCCGATCCTACATTTCTTCAAGCTGTTTATGATGATTGTTCTTTTGAAAAAGTAAAGGAAAGAGAAAAGGGGAAACCATGGGAGTTCATCTACAGAAAAGGTAGAATATACCGCACTCTAAACCATTAATAGAGGTTTAATGCTTACGTCCTTTACAGGACTTGTAAGAAAATCATATAATATATGGTGTATTTGATTTTCTAACTTTTGGATTAAAATATAGGATAAATAATTGAGCAGGTTTTAATAATATTAACAGGCAGATAAAATATTATAGACATTCTTTTTTTTTTCCTGCCTACTAGATTTACCGGGCAAAAGCAAAATATTAGATATACTCATATTTTCATCATTTTGACGTTTTCCAAATTTAAGATTTATGAAATGTTGCAGTTGAAATAGGTCAGCTTACAACAGTTACAAGGACAAAATATTAAATACTAGTATACTCGTAGATTGATTTTCTAAAGTTGCAAATTTAAGATTTATATAATGTTGCAATTGAAATATGTCAGCTAACAACAGTTACGAGAAAAATTAAAAGTTGTCATCGACAAGCTGTCGAATAGGTGGAATCTAGAGAACAGTGCCTCCTGTAGTTTAAATGATTATATGACTGTACTAGTAGAAGCTTGTCAAGATCCTTATCATTGAATCTTTAAGGAGAGGTCTAAATGTCATATTAGAAAATGAATATGCCACATAAATGTTTAATTAGTTATCTCTTAAGGTAAAGATCTTGTAAATGAGAGGTGGCAATAAATCAGAAAAAAAACATACCTAATTTTCATTCATTAAATTTCGAGTTAAGAAGAGAACAGAATGGGACACATCCGAAAGTTTTCCTGAAATGTGTTAGGTATATATGTATTGTGTTTTTTCTGCAGGTGAAGTGGGTGATTGGAAATCTTTCTTTACGGACGAACAAAGTGAGAATTTTGATGGTGTCTTCGAAGAGAAAATGAAGGGTTCTACATTGAAGATTCAATGCAGTTAAATGTTTATTTGTAATTTTCAGATTATTGAACGATGTATTATTAAATATATTTTGGTTAACTTATATAACTCAAAGCAATATCATGACCAAACTGTTTTATAAAAGAACTTGAGACAGATTTAGCCATGTATATCTCAGATAACGTAAATGTGCTCTGAATTCATATATAAATAGATTTTAAAAACATTCTTTCTCCAATGTCATAGACATTGATATTGAGGCTTTTTTTAGGCCAGTGCATTGGCTGTAATCAACTGCATGTTATAAAGTTCGTGTATTTGATGCCATGTACTCTATGCACAGAAGCTGCAATTTTTTACCTACATTTTCCCTATATAGACAACTTGTTCTTATTCTTCATGTTTTAATAGTACCAAACTTTTACGAATATAAACATTTTATAATTTTTTTGTCTTTCTAATTCTTTTGGAAGAAATAAGAAGACGCAGGGAATTGGGGAATATGTAGGCTATACCTTAAAGAAACACAAAATGTTTAAATCAGTAGGAAATCTAGCATTTATTGACAACAAACATATAAGAATAACCTGCATGTTCTGGTTACTGCAAATAACATTAATTAGCATGAAACAGCTGTACTGTATTCCGGAAATACAGGTCTGACTCAAATTTGTTTTTATGTATTGACGTATTTTGTTTTAATGTGCCATCTTTTGCTAACTTTTTCTTATGACATTTTATGATTTCTTATGATTTTCTTGTTTTACTTGTACTTTTTTCTTGTCAGTTTTGGGGGACCATTTTATGTAACTCACAATCATTCTTTGTGAATCTGATTCACCTCTTGTGTGTTAAATTGTGCACATTTATACCGTCATTTTAATAAATGACATTATTCATCTCTATGAAAGTGTTTTATTTTACTTGTACAAAGTGAGCTTGTCTATAAGCATAAGACGAGATAAATACATTCAAGTCATCCACACGGCTATTAATTTATGATAATTGGCCGATACGAATGCTGCAATCACAGGATACTCGTGTGAGACTCAACTTCTAACAACGCTCAGCGACTTCCTCACAGAACACGACAAATCACATGAAGTCGGCTTAGCCATCTTAGATTTTTCAAAGGCCTTTGACACCGAACCTCATGACAAACTACTCAATAAACTATACATCAATACGGCATCCAAGGAACATTTCACACATGGCTTAACAACTTCCTGACAACAAGGAACATGAAAACAAAAGTAACAGGCATAGAGTCTGAGGAAACATCAGTAGACTCGGGAGTTCCGCAGGGCACAGTCCTCGGCCACATTAACAATCTACCAGATGCTGTCAGCTCGTCTGTACGCTTATTTGCCTATGATTGCCTGCTATAGAGAACCATCAACAGCAAAATGGACCAAGAACGGTACTATAAAATGATTTGAACCAACTAGAAGACTGGGCAAATAAGTGGAGCATGAGATTTAATGCTAAAAAATGCTACATTATGTCAATAAATCAGAAAACAAAATTATACCAGCTTAGCAACCATATCCTCAAAGAAGTACAAAACAATCCGTACCTTGGACTTGAAATTTCTAACGATCTCAAATGGAGTCTGCACATGAATAACATCAGTAAGAAAGCAAACACCACCTTAGGATTCTAAAGATGGAATCTCCGAAATGTCCCAGAACAATGTAGAAAAAAGCATATAAATCCTTGTTCGATCAATCATGGAATCTGGAGCTATTATCTGGAATTCATATCTCAAAGGAGATATCGATAAATTAGAAATTTAAAGATACAACACAGAGCCCTAAGATTTATGAAAAAAGATTACAGCAGCAGGAATCCGGGAGCATTAACATGCATGAGGAAAAGTCTCGATATTGTTACTCTCGAGGAAAGAAGAACAAGTCTGAGACTCAAACTAATGTACAAAGTGGTTGAGGGGTTTGTGCTTGCACTACCACCTCATTTATTCATAGAGAGTGCAAAATCAAAACACCAAACAAACTAATACAATACAAGGACCATCATACAACAAATATAATCCACAAAAAAATGTGTGTGGTAACAATAGATAATAAAGGCATTTTTCCGATTTATAAACAAACAATATTTTTAAAATTATCGTAAACACACTAGGGATATAAACACTATGGAAACAGTACAACAAAGTTATCCAGATTGGAAAGTATTTGGTTATGATCCAACAGGATAACATTTAACATTGATTAAAAAACCTCTGCTCATATTTTATTTTGAAAACAGTTTGTACGTTGCCCATCATTTTATTTTTGTTCCTTATACAATGTAGGTCTGGCCTGAGAGGTACCAAAGTTATAAAGTTGCCAAGAATGTCTGATATAAAAACACAACGTTTTATACATATCATGATAAATAAAATGCTGAGTATTCATTCAAGTTGGCTATTGTCACATGGCAAGAATGTAACCAAGAGGTTCATCTATAACTCTAAGAGAAAGAGTAAAAGTGGTGTTTTAGAATTGCAGGATAAAACATCAGAAGGGACATTTGTGGCAAGTAAGGATCAGGACAAAGCAGAAGTGCTGGCGAACTTTTTCGGTAGTGTTTTTACAGAAGAAGATGATTTCATACAGCAATTGAAAATACAATGCCCATTGATGACGAGCCGATTATTCAAGAAGAAGTGAAGAAATTACTTCATTGTCTAAACACCACTAAGTCCCCAGTAGCAGACAGAGCAACCCAAAAGTTATATATGAATTGAATGCAATCATTGATAGATCTTTAAACTTGATCTATAAGATTGATTGTATATTGCTTAACGTCCCTCTCGAGAATTTTTCACTCATATTGAGACGCCACCACTTGTCGGTGGAGAGCTGCAAATTTTGTCCTTTACTCGGCACTTAGGGTCATTGAACAGAGAGGGATCTTTTCCGTGCCAGCACCTACTGAGACACGGGTCCTCGGTTTGCACGGTCTCATCCGAAGGACCGGTCTCCACGTCCCACAGTGGTTCGAACCCGCGACGTAAGGATCAACTTCTAACTTCGCGACTCTAGAGCTGACGCTCTAACCTCTGCGCCACGCGGGCGTCGAAAGGTGGTAAGAAGTCGGCATCAAACTACAGACCGGTCAGGTTGAC